TTTATTATACATCCCCTCCCCCTCGTTTTTATCTTTTTTGGCACTGTAGTTGCATGAAATCATTGACACATGAAAAAAATAACTCTTGCTCTATGGAATGAGTGCTAGACAATCGGTCTGTGTACTTTAGTTTGTTTTTTTTTTCCTCCTAGAAACAGGAAACGCATTCCAGTATCAGTATTTCAAGTGATTATGAATGCTTTAATAAGGCATACAGGAAAGTGTTATCAACTGTATACGGATCGATAGCCTCGCAATATGTCGTTCAACTTCAACTGGAATCCCATGCATGAATTTCGTGTTGATCACCTCAACACAACGCCCCAAAATGTAAAATTTCATTTTCGTATCCTCGAAAGTTCTTAATTAGGAGCTTACGCAATTCTGAGTGACTGATTATTTGTGATTTTCCCAGTTACGAATTGTCAACGGGGAAAATGATGTACTGACCATACTCGCTGTACATCTATACTATGTGTTCTACATGTATCTTCTCGTTCTATATGCTTTCACGTTTTTCTTGTCATCGCTTTCTTTCCTTGTTTCAAGGAGTACTCCACGCGAAGAGAGTTTCCCCACAACAGATCGACACACAAGCAACTTCCTCGCGAAAACAGTCGCTGTCCGCTAGATGCATCTTGAAATTCACCCAGAAACAATGAAAAATAGAAAGAAAGAAGGTCTGTCTTTCTTCGCTCCAAAACGCATTAGCGGCAATCATTCGGCTATACTATCAACGGCGCATTCGTGCAGTCTCGGAGGTCGAACCAGGATCATGACAAAGACATACGAGAAAACGTAGCTGCATTACACGGATAACAAAAAAAGGGGGGGGGGGGGGGGGTAACCCCAGAAGACTATAGGTCTTGCGCCGTTCCGTCGCGGCGCGCAAATAGTTCATGCATGTATATGTTCCCTCTAGAGATCCATTCCACGCAGCCGCTCCTTCTGAATGGCGTCCGGTGTCGCCAGTTCTGTGCAGAAGGGCGGAAACGAGATGCCCGCAGGTCCTTCCTCATCCGTCATATTTGAATACTTGACACGATACAAATTAGTTACGCATACAACGTGCATCAGAGTCTTTCGAACATTCGGAAGAATAGAATGGTGCAGAACACCTGCAAGACTAGAAAATGTCGCTGACGGTTGAATAGGTACATGGCACTTTAAAATTGTACAGCGGTCCAACGTTCCTCCTCCTTTGACTGGAACGGCAACGGCCACATCTAGAGCCCTGACAACACTGCACGCATATGCAACGAGTTTGGCCGCGGATCGGCGAAGCGTGCAACCTATACCTGCACGCACGTCCGACCCCGTTTTTTCCGCGGGAGCGCTAGTATATAACGCGTTGCGACTCCAGCGCATGGAATTCATTGTAGGAAAAGCGTGGGTTTTGGCACAGAACTACCTGAACCATAATGCCGCGTTCGTCCAGGTCACGGGCTCTCGATCGATACTAGTTACGTGGTCATTTGACTGTCCGACTAAAGAGGAACTATGTATTGCGGAGCTACTTTGTTGTCCAATGTTAAGTATAGATAAGCGCCAGAGACAAGCGTAAAGAAATAGAAACAACAACAAACAATCTTCGATGATTCCGGTACTGCCTATAGTGCAAATTCTGAGTGCTGCTTCGTGTTGGGACAAGGCCAACTGTGTTTGAAGTTTTGGCGTCCCGCAAGGTATCTACTAAGCTATAAACCATCATTCTTGTGAGGTATAGGACAGCACCCGATACGCCCTTATCCACCTTACTGCGGATAGGTGAGCTACAGCCGCTACACATCTGCAAGGTATTCTGTGCGCTTCGTCGACGCTGTGAGTGACGACGATGAAGGATTACGGCTGAGCACTTTGTGGTTGGTGTAAAGCATTCGACCACACACTCGTTGCGTAATTAGCAGTGTGCGATGACGGGTTGTTACCCTTTGCTAACTCTATAGTTGACACGCTACATTACATGTGTCAACGCGATTCTTCGAGCAACGGACCTTCTTGCAAATTAGTTTCAAGCCCCGTCGTGGCTCTATATATAGTATAGTCTACTCGACAGCCTCGGTTCAAATTCAGTTCGAACTGCGTTTATTTTATTTCTTAGTATCTATCGGTTGCTTTTTCGTGTATATCGGTTACACCAGCGACGGCGACGGGCGGTGACGCCGCTCGACACCGAAAAGGGCACCTGAAGGCTTGGCCATGCAGATCTCACTCGCTGCAGCGCGTCAGCGCGGGTCTTCTGGCACGGCTTCGTGCCCTCTCCCTAGAAAAGGGCCCGTGACTACGCTAAGCTTTAACTTTCTCTCTCCGTAGGAAGAGGACGCGGATGGCATCTAATTTCCACGCGCTGCAAAGGGTGCATGCGGTTCGGCCTTATAGAAGTTGCGCTCTAAAAAAAAAAATTAGCGCAGCTTGCACTAAACGCGCAATACTAAAAGTGCGGAGGAGCTGAGGCACGGTACCTTTGTAGTCCTATAGATTTTGCTGTTTTGCTAAGTTATGCCAATTTTATTTCTTTCCCTATTTCTTTCTTTCTTTGTTCTGTTATCTATTTTTTCAAGTCCTTTTTTTCCCTCTATATTCATTCCTCTTTCCACTTCTTCCTCTACTTTTCGTTGGTCTTACCCTTTCCCTCTTTTATCTTTATCTCTCTCTGCTATCTTCTCCTTTCCCTTCTTTTTCTCCATCACATCTCTACTCCTCGCGCTCTCTTCCCTTTTCTGCTTCTGTTGATGACGACCGTTCCACTCACTGCTCAATTAATCTTTCCTCTTCTTTCCACTTTCATCCCTTTTTCCTTCCCCGCAGGCACTGCGCCGTGCTCCCGACCGGATTGCAGAAATTAGGTGCCTTTTCTCATCTTCTAACCACTACCAGCACCACTTCTCTTTACCCCTGGTCCGCCACGGTGGGTCAGTGGCTACGGTGCTGCTGAAGCGAAGGTCGCGGCTTCGATCCCTGCCACGGTGGTCGCATTCCGATGGAGGAGGGGTATAGTTGAGGCCCGTGTACTGTGCGATATGTCAGTGCATGTTGAATAACACCAGATTGTCGAATTTTTCGGAGCTCTCCACAACAGCGTCTCTCATAATCATATCTTGGTTTTAGGACGTGAAATGCCAGGCGTTATTATTATTATTCATTTTCTCCCCGTCCCCCCGCTAGACTGTAGTATAGAAGTCCTTTTTGGCGTGGCCGGATAGTCGAGTGGATAGGACGCACGCCATCAGATCGAGAAAGGCGTGTTAAATTCCCCCCCTCGTGAAGAAATTTTAATACGGCAAAAATTTCTCTCTCTTTCTTTCTTTCCATTCTTCTTTCTTTCTTGCTCTCTCTCTCTCTCTCTCTCTCCCTATCTCTCCGTACTCGTCCTCTCCCTTGCCAGGTTTATTTCATTCAGGCCACACTGTAGAAATCCGCGCATGCGTTCTTAAAACGAATCAGACGATAAAGAAGAGAGCGTGTATCGATTTATGATGATGATAATTTTGGGTCACGACAGACAAAATTAATATTTGTGTTATTCTTCTCGCGACTACTTAAATAATGATGATGATTTGTAGGGTTTAACGTCCCAAAACCACCATATGATTATGAGAGACGCCGTAGTGGAGGGCTCCGGAAATTTTGACCACCCGGGGTCTTTAACGTGCACCCAAATCTGAGCACACGGGCCTACAACATTTCCGCCTTCATCGGAAATGCAGCCGCCGCAGCCGACTGCTTAAATATATATTCCTCTCTTTTGTTAAGCTTCCCGAATTTCGGTCAATCCCCCAGAATTGGTGTGAGCCAGAAATTTAGGATCTACATCTTCATCTGCATTACGCCAAGCTAGAACAGCTTCGCTGTTGAGGTAAAAAAAATGGGGCTTTACGTGCCAAAACTGTGATGTGATTATGAGGCGCGACGCATGTAGAACCCAAATCTCTACACCTGCTATTTATTTAACGTGTACATAATTTAAGTACAGGAATGTTTGCGTTTCGCCCTCACCGAAATGCGGCCACAGTGGATGGGAATTAAAACGCGTCCATGATCTCAGCATTAGAACACCATAGCAGATGAGCCAAGAAGAGAGACACTAAGAAGGCGAGAACGCAGGCACTCGTGTCGTTCCTCGAGTCGTTCGTTTTTCAGCGCTTTTTCATTTGCAGGCTGTTTAACATGCCGCGATTGCAGCGAAAAAAAAAAGTTCCGTTCGCTTCACTCACTATGTTCGCAACCGCCACTAATGGCGGTTTCGTTTCACATGGGCTGCAAGCAAATGGTCTGCGATTTCCGCTCTGCGACTGGAGCGGCGAGCATCGTTTCTTGCCATCGTTCTTCGTGGCAGACACTGCATTTTTTTAAATTTGATGTAACTATCTGCGCATTATAATATATAAGTAGGTTTTCATGAATGATAACGAAGAACAGGCGTGATTCGTCATTTAACAACAATGCATTGCAATGTAAATCTATTTTAAAATGCGCGACATCGCCCATTATCAAAACAAACAAGTCGACGCAGTTTCGACGGCTTCGCAAGCCCGGCCTTATTTCGACGGATTCCGACCAAAAAAATCGTTCCGCCACTGCGACGAGAGCCAAAAATGTCCAACATGTTGGTAGCTCGCCACGGACCACTGCATCGGGAGAGAACTGCTCTTTTTGTTTTCCTCGGCATTGCTACGCTTTGTGTCACGTGGAACGGCCTTAAAGGAAGAACCCACTTCAGCTGAATAAGCAACCATTCGGTTAGGAATGCAGGGTAATAGGTAATCTTGCCACGTTATCACTGCCTCGGCAATCCCCGCGGAATACGTCGTCGTGAGTTAAAATACTCGACGCTGATCGCAAAGCGATATATATATATATATATATATATATATATATATATATATATATATATATATATATATATATATATATATATATATATATATATATATATATATATATATATATATATATATATATATTATAAGGAACGGGCTGGCGCCGATTATGCTCCTCTGTGGTAAATAAACGCATCGAATGCCTGGTTTTACGGTGAGCATAATCGATGTGCAGTTCCTTCCTTGCTGTCGTTATATAGGAGGAGAACCATGGCGAGTCTAAGTCCGTAGCCCATCTGGCAGCACGGCTCGCCGCCACGTTTCCACCAACCCAGGCAGGTACTTCGGTGATGGGCATTCCATTCCTACACTTCGACCACGCGGCGCTGTCACTTCTTCACTCTTGCTTTCAGCGCCTGTTTTGCAGCACAGACCACACCACGGTGATTTTACACATGGACGGCCCCTCAAGCACCGAAAACGTTCTGGCACTGCATGCTTTCTGCGGACCGCACCGCACGGGTCACAGCGTACGCCGATTCCCTCGATCCTTGCATTCAATCTGCACAGATCGATCGGTACCGGCGAAGCGTGCTCCCCTGATGCCCCGCTGAGAGCTGCCACCGATTCGGTGGCGTGTTGACACCTTGTAGCGAAGGCTCAAGGGCTTCTCGTACGGAAAGGAGACGGGCACGGCAACCCGCCTACAGATCGGTCTCCTTCAGTCCGCCCAGTTCGCACAGCACTTGGCTGTCCAGGCTGATGACTGATGACGCCCTGGAAGGGCTTACTGCCGCGCTTGCCGGCACCGCCAGCAGGCTGTCGCCGTTGGTCGTGGGAGGAACGGCGGCCGCGTTTCGCCTCCGCAGCTCGGCCTCCTTGGTGGTGTGGCCGCCGCAGCAGGTTAACGAGCCGCAGCGCTTGGCCTGCGAACACTGCAGGATGCACTGCGAGCCCGTGTGCGTTTCCTGCGAGAAGGGTAGCGACGACAGACATATTTAGACGTGGTGCACGCCCGAGCGGATTGCTATATGCACTGCAGAGCTTTACTTTGTACGCGTACGTATACGCATACATCAATTATTGGTCTAAAGGACACAAAAACTATAGACAGTCAGGCGCACCGCCATGGGAAGCTGAGGGGAAAAAAAAAACAGGCACTGCTATAGTACATGAACATTACTTTAGACGAGCGAAGTATTGCATGTGCGAATTTTATTTTAAAAATCTGTATTAGATCTAACCGACAAGGAATGCAAAGGGGGTGTTATTTGTGGTAATTACGTTATAAACGTGAAGAAATTGAAGTGAACAAAAAAAAAGGACTTGCCGCAGGCGAGAACTGATCTATCATGACAGAGATTAGCGCTCCTCGTTACAGCTATAACATTCCCTACACATATATAATGTAATAACATTCCTTAGCTTGACTGTCAGTTTTTATTTACGTTATATCTCTCAAAGAAAAAGAAAACGTCAGGCCTGCGCGGAAGATGCAGCACAATCACAGCGAAAGCTAGAAGATTGGCCTTTTAGAGCTTTTTCTAAACACTTATTGGGTAACTTCTGCAAGCAAACCTGCTGGGTACCCACTACGGCATTAATAATAATAATTCCTTCCTAGTAGGCCGGCTTTTGCTATGCTATCTTTCGTCATTCTTCTGAGAAGCGTGGTATCCGCTAAACTATTGCGAGGAATGTTGTGCCAATTGTTCACGCAGTGGCTGACGACGATGAGGAATTATGCCTGCAGTGTGTATGCGCCACAGTTAATAGGTGATGAAGAACAAGCTTTTGTAGTGGGTTGTAGCATTAGACGACCCACTCGTTACACTATTCGCATTTCGTGACGCCTGGTTGTTTGTTTGCTGTTCTAAAACGCTTTGTTACTTGTAATAACGCGATTCCTTTCCCGACATCGAGCCTGCCTAGGGAAAGTTTGCCAACAAGTCCCAAGCACCGGCGTAGCTCAGTGGTAGAATACTGGCCTGGCACCCAACGGACCCTTTCGAGCCCCACTGTGTCATTGGTACTATGTTTTTTTTTTTCGCTGATTTAGTGCAATGCGCTTACAGACACCGGCGGCGGCGAATGACTACGGCGCTGCGCGAGAGCCTAGTTGCGATCTCATAACGGCTTTCGCTGTAAAAAAAACGAGCCCTTAGATTTCCATTTTTCCAGAAGTCGAAAGGTGCGTTAGAATGCGAGGTTTTAACAACGATTTCTGTGATGCAGGCATGGATGCATTCGAGTTCCATTACATGTATACGTGTGCCCTTATGCACTACACACACACACACACACACATATATATATATATATATATATATATATATATATATATATATATATATATATATATATATATATATATATATATATATATATATATATATATATATATATATATTATGCGCGGTGGTCTAGTGGCGAAGGTACTCGGCTGCGAACCGCAGGTCGCGGGATCGAATCCCGGCTGCAGCGGTTTCATTTCCGATGTAGGCGTAAATGGTGTAGGCCCGTGTGCTCAGATTTGGGTGCACGTTAAAGTAATCCAGGTGGTCGAAATTTCCGTATTCTTCACTACGGCGTCTCTCATAATCAAATGGTGGTTTTGGGACGTTAAACCCCACATATAAACCAATATCGATCATTGACGTAATTGTGCGTGTAAGTGAGTGCTAGTAAGAGAGCTCAGTGTTTGTGCCCCCGCCGTCCCTTACCACTCAAGTAAACGAGGGCAACAATACACGAAGTCGCAAATAAAGCAAGCGAATAAAAACAAAGTGATATGTCGCCTCATTATTTCGCTATTCACGAACTTAAATCGAATTACTAGGAGTCAGAAACTGAAGCTACACTAGACACAGAGCGACGGGAGCGACGCGAAACGCCGTTCTAAGCCAGGGATGGACGGACAACGATCACGTACATCTTCCACGGTTTAAGATTCTCTTCGGGAAAAAAAAAAAAAACATTTTCCTCGCTCGCTTTTACAGCAAGCCGCCCCTGCTGGAAACCACCTTTGGCTTTTATCGGACACACTCAGGCACACGCGTTAGCGAGCCTCCTTTTCTTTCCTCTTTTTCCCCCCTCCTTCCAGGGTAAGCGGTTCTTTGCCAGCACTAGCCTCGCGGTTATCTTACTATTGCTATATTTTTTTCTCTCTCTCTCAAAAGTCTCTTTCGGTCGCTCCTGCTCTCTCTGTCTCTCCTCTCTCCCTCTCTCTCTCTCCCCCCCCTCTCTCTCACTGCACGACCGCTGTGCCCTGGGACCCCCGCGAAAGGGTTGAGACCTTTTTCTATATTTCTCCTCGATCCGCGCGGCCGAACGTTTCCTGCAGGCGCGGCGGACAGTTTATCATACGGGTGCATGCAACAGGGCCGATGGTGTACCCGCCCGTCGCCCCTTATCTGCGCTGCAGGCGGCGGCTGCAGCAGCTCCCTCCACGAACACGATCCGGAACAGAGGAGCCGCGGCCGTTTGAGCAGTGTATACATGCCGGTATAATGTATAGGGATTCTACTCGTTAGCATGTGCCAATTCCTTCCTTATCATGCTCCGTTATTGACCGCTCCAGTGCGTCGACAACCAAGGCGGAGCACGACTCACCGTAGAATTAACGCTTAAAGATATTTAGAACAGTTAAAATTAGATCTCACAAAAACCCGATCTTGCGAAGTTTCCTATCGAATGAGAACATTTCCCCAGCGAATGCTCATAGGGCTCAGTGTTATCATCAACCCGAATTAACAAACTATAACTTAACAACAAACCGCGATTTAGCGAAGTTTTTCCAGACGTAAGGAAATTGCCGTTCGAAAGCGGCAATTTCCTTCCATTTTTGTAGATGCAAGTTTTCCTCGAGCGTATACGCTTTAATGCGATAGCGGTTAGATATATAACGCTCTAACTCGGATCATTTGAGCGTTAGATAGCTCTAACACTCTAACGATATACATTAACAATATACATTAGGGCGCTATCACTTTAGTGTGATAGCGTTAGCGTCTATAGGCACTATACTCACGGCTCATATAGGTCCTGTAGCTTTATAGTTTGAGGAGGCTGCACGCCAAATCCACGCATAGAGCTATGCACTAGGCAGTCGGTATCTCTCTTACACGTATGTTTAATGGTGCTGCGCGTGGCGGTGGCTGGTTTCACTATTTCACTGCACCAGTTGTCTTTTTCGAGACTTTCTCCACTGGACCTGTTCACTCAATGACTTCAATCGTTCTCCGCCGATCGTTTGCCCTTCATTGCTTCACGCAACCCTCTGTCTGGCCTGCATCGCGCGGACGTAGTGCCTCGATGTCTGAGCTTCGTAGAATACGCTCCATGACAGGACCGCCCTCATTCCACCCTCGTGGAATTTTAACATGCGCGGGAATAGATACGGTATGATACGAAGGACATAATTTAAAGATACGAAATGCCACCTCTAAGGGTGACACTGCGGGCCCGCCACTCCCACGTTGGGAGAGTTAAGACCTATAGCTTAACTGCCGCATCGCAGGCTCTCTGGACAGCGCAAGGTTGATGATGATATTCTGAGCTCTTGAGCATCGAGCTCGATTGGTTGCAAAAGCAAAAGTTTGGTAGCTTTTGTTGGTCTCAACGTTACATTCTTTTATATATTTCGAAAAGCCGGCAGATTCCTGTGTTGATTTTACGAACTTCCCGATTTAACAAAGCAGTTCGAGCGTCCCCAGGTTAGATCAAGGTTTCAACTGTATTGAAATATAATCGTAACATGCATGGTGCTGGGAGGGTCCTATTATTTTTTAATGTTTCTAATATGTGGTCTTCGGAGTACAGCCCACTGCATAATATGTTAGACTTGTATATGAGACATATTGTTACGCACAAGGAGGACCAGGACGTATACGACTGAAGGGGGCCGTTTATTTTGGTCGCGAAGAAAAGCGCCGGAGCGGCCAACAGGCCTCCTTGTGCGTAAAAATATATTAACAAAAACCGCCGCGGTTCTGTAGCGGTTATGGTGCTTTGCCCGAAGGTCGCAGGTTCGACTCTGGCCGCGCGCGCCAGTCGCGTTATGACGGAAGCGAAATGCTGTAATAGAGACCCGTGCTCTCTGCGATGTCAGTGCAGGTTAAAAAACACCGTAGCAGATTGTCTAAATTCCCGGAGCCCTCACATACGGCGTCCTTCATGATCACAACGTGGTTTCGGCACGTAAAACCTTAGCTATTATTTTAAGGTGTTGTTTAATGGGGACCACTCAGGCGGCAAACTTTCACTATGATGTGGCTGCCTCCCTATTCAAGCTCAAAAATCTCGAACCTTAATTTTTCAGGTAGCTCGAGAAGGAGAGAGTCGGTCATACGAGCCAAATCAAAGCTGCCACTTGTGCCGCATGTTCGCGTTTGTTGTTCGGTGTTCGTCTGTGTATAACGGTAAACAAGCCGTTATGAACAGTTCGCATCACTTCGCCAAACTTCATAGGATCAAGATTACCGCTTATTCCTACGATGAAGACTTTTTTTTTTGTACTACTCTCATGCAGAAAGGAGAGCAGTCATTACGATCCTCTTATAGCTGTCGGGCCTGCCGAAAGCTATAAACAATCGGGCATAATGACTTCAGAAGTTGGAACTTGTGATTATGCAGCAAGTTTTAACATGAGATTTATGGAATGATTTGAAAGTATACAGTTACGTACACGTTACTTGCACGACTTGAAACTGAAGGAATATTCTTGTCAAACAAACTGAAGGAATATTCTTGTCAAACAAAAGCCTTTAAAAACTCATCTTTTCCGCGCACTGCACTAATTGGAATGTTCTTTCGGCCAATCTGGTGAACTGTGAAACCGTTCAGTTGTTCATGGAAAAACTTAAACATCAGCAACCCATTTGACTTTGATCTTTCTTTGCGCTTCGCCCTCTATTATTCCACCACGCATCCTGAACAGGCTTCCATTTATGTTCCACTTTCTATCACTTTTTTCATATTAATGCGTTGTATTTTTGAAATGTTGCCGATTTTTGAACCGTTATATGATGTTTGTTTCTTAGTTCTGTATAAGCAGATGTTTGTCGTCATAGTTTTCTTTTTTGTACGTGTACGCGTAAACCACTACGATTCTGTAAGTACTGGCGTTTTACTTTGATGCACTAGTTCTTGAGGGTGTAGCTCTGCGTGACGTGTTTCCTTTCCTGTTGTATCTTTTTTTGTATCACCCACCCCTGCCTAAGGCCTCATGTGTGAGGCTGGCAGTACTTCTGAAATAAATAAATAAATAAATAAATAAATAAATAAATAAATAAATAAATAAATAAATAAATAAATAAAACGGCACGTACCTGGCAGAACTCTGGCTGCACCGTGGTGGAGGTGATCCCCTGTTCGTGCAGGTAGCGGTTGAGACGATCGGCGACGGAAGCGTACACCGCGGGCGACCCGAACACGATGTGCACCGTGGCGATCAGGTGCGTGTTGGTGAGCTGCCACAGGTGAAACTCGTGCACGTTCAGAATGGACGGAAACTGCAAGCACGGCTCATTCAGCTTGCAAGTGCATGGGGCACTCTGAGTCACTGGGTAGCTATTTGACGTTCGCACTATGTCGCGAACAGAAGGCAAACCACGGCCAAATGATTCTACCTAATTTCGCAACGTATCCAGATGAATACGTATAAAATAAATAAATAAATAAATAAATAAATAAATAAATAAAAGTACTATACAAGGACAGCGTTGATTGTCGTATAACGGGGTACTTATTTACCTCTTTCATAATCCTCTTCTGCATTGTGGCGATGTCGACGTTATGAGGGACGTTCTGAAGAAGGATGAGACCAGACTCCTTTACTGCGTAAAGAGATAACAGCAAGAAAAAGAGATGAAACTGAACACTTTGACACACATTACACTGATTCAGGAGAGATCTGTGATACACGACGCAAAACACGGAGCATCGTGCATGCGTGTAACAAACGTCTGTGTATAATATAATACACTCTGCGTAGAGCGGCAGCCGATGCACACTAAGTGTACAAAGCGTATACAAAGTTAGTTGCCTTGTCACGCACAGTGCATTTATATTAACAATGGCACAAAGGTTGGTGCGTCCGAAATATGGGCTGCTCACAAACGCTTGTATATATATATACAGTGATATAGCAATTAACGCCAAAATAGTGCGCCGGACCGCGATTGTATAGGTGTTTTAAAAAAAAAACGAGAACATTCTTCGTTCTCTGAAAGGCTCTATCAGAGGTAGTTCCGCACCAAAATTAAGGCAACTTGAGTCGGAGTGATGCCAGATATAGCAATAGCTTGCTCCCTAAATTCTGTAGTTATTTGTCGCCACCTAATAGGAAAGCTTGTTTGAGGGTGCTTCTCTGTCGTGAATCGCAGAGCATAGCGTGTGCTTCTCTCTGGTAACTTTATTAATCTACGATGTACGTGGGAGGTCAGTCAAGAGGTGCTTCAATGTTTCGCGGGTCATCTTGTTCAACAACAACAATGAATCACAGGCATTTTCTATGGTGCTGATAATACCGCATTTAAAGACCCTTATACTTGTTCACAATGGCTAAATTTACATCTTTACAATTGTGAGAGTATTAGTCGAGTTTTAATTAGTGTTCAATAATGCCATGAAACTAAAATAAAGTAATTCGTATTATGATAATTCTAAACAGCGCTATGAAATTGGCCGATAGTGAACTGAAATGTTTATTTCTCGTATTATATTGCCAGTCGGTAATATAAGCATACTGAGATGGTGGTAATAACATCGGCCCGTCAAGTAAGTGAGGTTGTACTCATTTATTCTTTTTGTACATACGTAAGCACCCAAGTACCACATTTTCGGACATGTCCGATCATTCAGACGCCTTCGCGGAATCTGAATACCAATCGAGTCAATGTGCTGCAAGTATGTGTAAAGTTTATGACACTGGAACCCTCAATCGAGCAGTTTTTCGGACTTTCTGTCCTGATATTAAATTCTAAATTGCACTAATTGAATCCGTAACCACGACCATGTGGATCTCGTAGGCAGAAACCAGCGCTTCTGCGCAATGCACACCAATCAACTTTATAGCAGTAGTGTGCTTCGCCGCAGCTCTACAATGCTCTACAGTAAAGCATACAAAAGCACAGCGGTGAAGCACTGTAGGATTGGAGCCCACTATCTCGGGACATGGTAGTATGCAGGCTCCGACGCGGGAACAAAGGTTTTTCTTTCTTGCTTTTCTTCTTTTTTTTAAGCAGGGGGGAGGGTGAACGATGTTAAAATGCTAAATGACAATAATATTGTATCTGTGGATGCTTACAATAAACAATAACGGCAAGAAGTTCATTGGCGTTTCAGTGAGCGTTCCAACGCCATTGTAACAGCTGACAATAAAATTAGAGCTCGCCATGCCTCCATATGCTGCATGACACTGTGCATAAAAAACATCAGGGAGGGGAGGGAGGAGTTCCAGATATCCGGGAATCACTCCTGGATCGGTGCAGGAGATATTTATCATAAACGCACGCAATAGCAGTCCCCCGTTATAATGCGAGAATCTAGACACCTATCAAGTACAAAGTCATGGTTTAAGACCTATTTCTGACGTGTCTGCAGCAATTTCAGCTTTTGGGATCAGTAGAGAGGCATGCATATGTCTCTTCAGACTATTCAATCTTAGTGCGAAAGCTTTAATACGCTGTCTCCCAAGGTCATTTATCGCGTCCCAATTACAGCGAGCCACCGGAGTGCAAATATATATTGTTAGCCACCATAGTGCAAGTGAGACAGGCTTGGCGTCACACCACGCGACTCGCTGCGGAGGGGAGTCGCCGCTGCTCATCCTAGGAGGCTTGCCACTGTGGTACCACATGACCAGGTGAACAAAGCATTGTGTGCATAGCCTCTCCCAAATCAGGCCAAACATACGTTTTGCCCGCAAGAACTAGGTTCAAATAAGTTAAACCTCTCCTTTTTTTTTCAATCATTTCACATTCAGAGTAAGAGACTCCAAAAAATTAGATGTTGAGCATTCATTCATCCATCCATCCATGTATACCCGAGGAGATGTGTACTTACTGCGCGGGTAGGAAGTGCAAATGAGTATGGCTACGGCCACCACGGCGAGCACTGGGTCCACGTACCGCGGCAGCGTCCCCGTCCCGAAATGAACGGCGCATGCGCAGCCTACCACGAGGAGGCAGCCTCCGCAGGTGCGCATCGCTTCCAGCAGGCAGGAGCGCCAACCTGCGCGCAGAGGCGAAAAAAAAAAAAAAAGAGAGAGAGAGAGAAACGTTGTCACCTACTAAAAAAAAAAAAACTTGACTCCTGTCGACCTTCGTGTCGACAGGAGTCAAGTGCAATGAAAAGTAAAGCAAACACGAGATATACCAGCAATAAATATACTGTCACTTGCTTGTGACTGCGAAGAAGGCTGTGCAGTCAGATGGCTAAAGACGAAGCTCTTTAATGGGAGGGCTTGTGCCCTGGAGATGAAGTAACACTAACTGTGCAAGCGAGTAACTGTACTCGACTAACTGCAAAATGCAATGATAGCGGCGAGCACAGTGGGTGGTCGTCGATAATCTTATCGTGAGTGGAACATACCGGCTTTTATACGCACGTTATCGAGCATCCCTGCGCCGGCATGCGCATTGCTGTCAGAATAAACTCCACTTCTACAGTAGTGCGGGCGATCTTATTAGAAGATTATAAAAATAATCACGAAAGTTCTCTTACATTAGGCGTGACCTGCACCGAGTAATATGTTTTCCTTCTTTGTTTTTTTTTTTGCTGGTGAAGCCAGATTACATAACCACAGAAAGAAATGGGTGCTTGCCAATATTAGTGAGGAAAAAAAAAGTGCACCCGACGACCCAATTTATAGAGCAAATCGCCACATAAAAAAGGAACCTGGCGTACATGGCCTTTGGCTGTTATCATAGAAGTGCGGTCGTTAAAAAAAAGCAGAAACGAAAACAGGTGAACCAAAGTTGCGAAACGAAACACAAACCAACCGATTTCAGCGAATTTTTGTTAATTCCTCAACTGCGCATAATCACGAAATATAAAAATGAAACCTGCTGCACATTACAAGGCAAGATCTACATGACTAAGAAACGTGATTCTTCCGTTCGGCATACTAAACTGACGTGTATGCAAAACGAGCGTTTCGACGCCTGCAGGCACCCGAACAACGCACACTTAATGTATAACGTGCAGGTGTCGCTTGCCGTATATGCTTTCAGGCGTGAAGATTGCGCCAGCTGTAGCTCCTTCGCTTAGGCGCTGGTCGGTGGGGTAGTTCACACACCGGATGACACGATGACACGAGAAACAAAGACATGCAAGGATGCCGAATCGTCGGCGCTTGTGCATGTCCTTTTGTTACGTGTCATCTTTTCACACGGTGTATATGCTGTCATGTCACACGGTGTATAAGCTGAGGACGACGCAGCGAGCAATGGAAAGAAAAATGATAGGTGTAACCTTAAGAGACAAGAAGAGAGCAGAGTGGATTAGGGGACAAACGGGGGTTAAGGATATCATAGCTGAAATGAAGAAAGGGAAATGGACATGGGCCGGGCATGTAGCGCGTAGACAGGATAACCGCTGGTCATTAAGGGTAACTAACTGGATTCCCAGAGAAGGGAAGCGGGTTAGGGGGAGACAGATGGTTAGGTGGGCACATGAGATTAAGAAGTTTGCGGGTATAAATTGGCAGCAGCAAGCACAGGACCGGGTTAACTGGCGGAACATGGGAGAGGCCTTTGTCTTGCAGTGGACGTAGTCAGGCTGCTGCTGCTGCTGCTGATGATGATGATGATAATGATAATGATAATGATAATGATAATGATGATGATTATGATGATGATTGTGATTATGATTATGATGATTATGATGATGATGATGATGATGATGATGATGATGATATGCTGTCATAAGTAAGTATGAGGAACGCCAAAGTAGGGCGCGTAGACGAGGATGGAGAGAAAGAAAGCACTCACTCCTGGCGTCGGAGAGCGCGTGGTGAGCGTGGGCGTGTGTGGGCAGCAGGGACTGCTTGGTGCTCGGATCTTCGGGCAACTGCATCTGGCACGGCGGCGGCGTCAGGTCGTCCTCCTCCTCGTTGCCGGACTCCGTGCCCACCACGAAGTTCACCTGTACCTCGGTGCCCTGCACGATGCGAAGGTTGCAGCCGCGACGAACACGGGTGCCTGGAAAGGATTGCGGATGCGGTCGCCCCCTTTGAGTTAAACGGCAAACTTCGTTAAAACATTGGGGCACTGCTGGAGATTATCACGCAGTTTCTGCACGTCAGTAACTGCGACGAAGCCTTCAGTTTATCTCGAATCTCTTGATTTTTTTATTTATTTGAGATGTAGTGCGTAGAAACATCTCCTGCAGTGTGTACAATAAAACAAAGTCTGCTCTGCGTTGATGGCTTCTGCAGGAGTGATTTGCCCTGTTCTGCGTCCATTGAGTTATCAATTACATCACACTTGCGCCGCGATCTGAACGAGCAAAGTCTCACATGGGGCTGCTCCGTACAGCTCTTTCGTAGTGTACAATAGGTGGCATTCTGAATCTACTTTCTTCTGCCTACCTCATAGTGGTCTCCTCGTCAGTCCGGGTGGTAGAGTGACCACTCCGGTAATAAATTGTTTCCAGTTTTGACCACATGACCTGGCAACACGTTCGTAAACTGGGAGGCTTTCTTTCCAACTAATGCACATGTATTTCCGTTGTAGTTAAATACAACGAAACCAGGCAGATGAGAAAACATCTTCATTACAGTATTCAATGTACCTCCGATGACAATGTAGCAGATGATGTCGACGGACAGCCCGAGGATGCCGAAGCAGAGCAGTAGCATCGGGTAGTGTGGCTCGGTGTTCTCGTGCGACGCGTGCACGATGGTCTGCACGGCGGCCACCGAAATGGCGAAGCACAGCGCCATCAGGAACAGCATGTTCACAAGAGTGCCCAGGACCTCGACGCGCGCCCAGCCGAAGGTGTTCTTTAGTGTCCTCTCCTGGCAGATCTGCATTAAAGGAGATACGTAATCGTCAAAATGGTTAACCATTTGCTCACAACCGGCAGTGCTTCGCCGCCAGCCTAGTAACCTTATCGCCACAGCAGTTATCACAACTGCTGGTGTGTTTTTATCCGCATTCCTTTTCATTCAACCATACCTTTCCTGTACTTCCCGCAAAAATGAGAGGTAAGTTCACACGAAATCACTAAAAAGGACTGGCAACAGCGGTAACTCTCACCAGCGCTCACAGAGAAGGTGTTGCTCACACTGACGTACACAAGACCAGCTCACTCAAGCTATGCTCTTTAATATACGAATCAGGCCACAAAAAGGTACGACTTTCATTGAATAGCTTCTAATATGATTATTTCTGTTGATATCTTACCTACTGCTGTATTCAGCGTCCATTTGACAACCTTCTTTGGTAACAGGTTAGTTTATTTGTTACAGACAGACAGACAGACAGACAGACAGACAGACAGACAGACAGACAGACAGACAGACAGACAGACAGACAGACAGACAGACAGACAGACAGACCAGACAGGACAGGACAGACAGACAGACAGCAGACAGACAGACAGACAGACAGACAGACAGACAGACAGACAGACAGACAGACAGACAGACAGGACAGACAGACAGACAGATAGATAGATAGATAGATAGATAGATAGATAGATAGATAGATAGATAGATAGATAGATAGATAGATAGATAGATAGATAGATAGATAGATAGATAGATAGATAGATAGATAGATAGATAGATAGATAGACAGACAGGACAGACAGACAGACAGACAGACAGACAGACAGACAGACAGACAGATAGACAGACAGACAGATAGATAGATAGATAGATAGATAGATAGATAGATAGATAGATAGATAGATAGATAGATAGATAGATAGATAGATAGATAGATAGACAGACAGACAGACAGACAGACAGACAGACAGACAGACAGACAGACAGACAGACAGACAGACAGACAGACAGACAGACAGATAGATAGATAGATAGATAGATAGATAGATAGATAGATAGATAGATAGATAGATAGATAGATAGATAGATAGATAGATAGATAGATAGATAGATAGATAGATAGATAGATAGATAGATAGATAGAACGTACGTGGTGGCTGATGACAAGCAGCACCAATGCGAGCACGTTGTACAGCATCTGGTAGGCATAGATGAGCAGCACCAGCGAGTGAGTGACGTGCGACACCACAATCTCGGCCAGGAAGAAGAGACCGGAGAGCACCAGCGCCGCGTACACGCGACCGCAGCCGCTGCTCCCGCCGCTCGTCGTCGGACCCGTGGACATGTTGATGGCGGTGGCGGCGACGGCGCCGCTTTTGGAGTCGCCCGGCGATTCACCCTGCGTGGCGTGTTACACCGAATGAAGATTATAGTGGTCTGTTTCCTTATACATCGTAAACATGGTACATCATCACGGGGCTATTTTGCTTGCTTGCTCCTTAGTGCTGGATCCTATACTCCCAACGGGGGATAGTCCAAGGAGCCTGCGGTTAAAGTAGAGAGAGAAAAAGAAAAAGAGAGAGGTTTATTTACACTAAGACAAGAGGTCAGTTTAATCAATAGTATGCCTTTGCTTGCTACTCCACAGCGGTGGAGGCGAACAGAAAAAAAAGAAAAGAAAATCAGGAGCGTATATAGTCAGAAATGTTTTTTTTCGGGGGATGGGGGAGATTAGAGCATACTTCATGTATGTTCGTGCGTGCGTTTATATGTGTGCATGCAAATATACGCATGCACGATTGAAAAACTTTGAGGGGAGATGTGTTGCACCCCCCCTTTTTCTTTCTAGGTTTCTGAAAGAAATAGCAACGAATGACGATGGTAAGTTAGGGAAGTGAGAATACACAGTCTCGTCAATTTGGCGCAATGCTCCAGCCACGCGTCCAATCCAGCGACTTGTAGAAAGTTTATGGCCTCTCCCACGATCCCAGCTGTAGATGAAGATTCTAAAATTTTGACTCGCACTCACCCACTTTTTTTTTTTTTTGCTAACGCTAGAGAAGTAATCGAGGCATTTCATATTCGAAGAAAAGGTGACAAGTGTGTCAGCCTCGCATCTATCTCATTCAGTGACGCGGAATTTTCGTACCTATAGTCCGCACGCGCAAAATGTGATATGCGAGCTGCCTATAGGGCCTTCTGCTGTAATAGGTATCGTATATATGTACTAGTTTTTTACAAATAAAGACTAGTCGTGAGTCAGCGCCTGTTTTGTGCTCCTCCTTTTCATCTTGGCCCTGTTGCTTCAACCTGAAATGAACGCCGACCAGCTCATGTTTCTATTCTTACGAAGGGAGCATGACCAGCCACGTGTTGACAAACATCTAAAGAAACTATGCGATGCAGTAATCATGTTACTTTCGCTCACTTCCTCAATGAAAAAAAAAAAAGAAACTAGTTATGTGCCTCCGAAAGATAACTTGTCGGCACTTCAGAACTGCGGTTTTTGATGTTTCTATCTAAATATAGCCCACGCCCTGTACGCAGCACTGGCCGAGAATCGAAAGAGTTCAAATAACTAATCAAGTGTGGACTGTGCCATTAATTAAGCATGTTACGTTGATCAATACAACTATAACACGGAATTTTCAAGGCATCAGCAAGAAACTCGTGTCGCCGTTGTTGTTTCCGAGACACATGTGGCCGCCTACTCATTCCACTAGGTGGACATCAATTCAGTATTTTTATTACAGGAAGATCGCTCTTTCGGGTGCATCTCCGAATCCCAGAGAGCGCTAAGGTTTGCGGTCACAAGTAGCTACTCGTTTTAACCAAGTTCGCTAGACACGTTTCGGATGTTACTGCCACCAAGTGCAAGCGCACTTTCATGCGAAGCAACCCTATGTAGAAGGCATAAGTCATAAATGAGAAAAAAATAAAAGTTACGCAATTGGAATCACAACGTCATTCATGTGATGCCACTATTTTTGTCAGTTCTCAGAACTAAGTTAGAGAAATTTAATTTACACGTTAGTTAATCTTCCACCACCTGAGTCGTGGTCAATATGTTATAGCATAGCATATTCATTAATTAACACTAAAGGTAAAACATCAAATAAGAAAAATACGAAATTATAATGACTAATCTAGCAATGAGATACAATACAATAATTCGTACGTATAATGCATAATGATATACACCAAATATGGCACATAACATAAAAGCAATAAGCAGAAGATTTTGCGAAAAAAAATAGGTAGCATCATAAAGAAAAAAAAAAGTGATACAGGGCAGCACAAGCGTGAGAAAAAGACAGGCGTATTAGTTTAACTTGCATATTTTGCATATTTGTATTGATTTGCACAAGGTGCGAATGCCGCAAAGTCAATTTTCCTGTCATTCCCAATATCGTTGATGAAAAGTAATTATATCATAGCTAATCAAAACTTTTCGCGTAACTAAGGCTGCACCACTCGTTGAGCACGTGTGATGAAGAGCGACGTTCAGTATGATCAAGATTGTCTTCAGCTCCGAGAGGACTAATATGATCACGTGATTTTTTTCACTCGGCCGCAGATAGAAGCGAAAGATATGATTCCTTAAGAGGCGTACTTTGGATGAGCAAGCGGCATGATGCTTGAGTCGCCGCACTATCTATATGCAGCAGATCAGTAAATAGGCTAAGGAGTGAAACGTGCGCACACAGCAAACAGGAGGCAGAGATAAGATTAATCCGGTACCCGTGTCTTCGGTTCGTCGCGCACTGCGGCGTACCAGTGCCCATTATTGAAAATGATTTTTTGTTCAAGCGCACACAAAAAAAAAAACAGATAGACAGAAGAGACTGACAGGGACAGCGCTTGCTCTCACAACTGAAATTTTATTAATAAAAAAATGGTATTTGCAGCGGTTACTAGTTTATGGTAATAAGGGCTGCAGCGCGAGCACGAAGGTGCTAGAAGAAACAGACGAAAGGCGAGGCACGGAAGGCAAAGAGGACAACACGAGCCTTCCTCTTTGCCTTCCGTGCCTCGCCTTTCGTCTGTTTCTTCTAGCACCTTCGTGCTCGCGCTGCAGCCCTTATTACCATGAATTCAAACCAACTAGCCCAAATCGCCATTCTTCTTCAATGGTTACTAGTTTCTCGCGAAGTCCTGCAGCTCACGCGTGTCTTGCACGGCCTGTTTTTTTTTTTTTTTGAATTCGTGGAGTTAGAAATTGCAAAACGGTCCCAGCGATATTTGAATATATCCGTTCTTGAAACGTTTTTCTTTTACTCAATTTTGTTATTCATTTTGCCCTACGGCTTGAAAAAAGAAACAGTCGAACATGACTGTGCACTTTAGTTTCCCGCATAAAATCTTCTTGAATCATTTGACTATTTAAAAGATGAACGATGAAGTAGTTTAACTACACAAAATTCAGACAGTTTCATGCCGTCAAAGCTGTCAGACAGTGAAGCTGTAAACACGCGAGATCCCATCATCATCATCATCGTCATCATCATCGTCATTATTATTATTATTATTATTATTATTATTATTATTATTATTATTATTATTATTATTATTATTATTATTATTTGCATCTTTATCATTACCATCATAATTTCGAGCATAATCATGATTTAATTTTTATTCAATTATTTATTCATCCCCCCCTCTGGTAACGTGATCTGCGTGACGTCTACTGCTATACTACTACTGCTTCGACAACAACTATTACTAGTCTACTACTACTACTACTACTACTACTACTACTACTACTACTACGACGACGACGACGACGACGACGACGGCACCGGGTAGACCAAGACGGCTTCATTGTAAAAGCTACACAGTATGCTACATCTGACAACAAAAATAACGTTGATTCATGACCGCATTTCTTTACAGAAAAGTCAGTTTCTTCACAAACAGCTTCCTGCACAAAATGCATCAATACAACTCCCCGAAATGCCATTGTGGTCACGCAAAAGAAGATGTTCGCCATATTCTTTTAGAGTGCGTCAAATACGCGAATGAAAGAGAAAAACTAAGGAACAACTTAGAAAGTTTGGACAGACGGCCCCTCACATTGAAGAAATTACTCAGACCATGGTCTGAGATGCATCTTCGGAAAAAGGCGAACATATTCTTGACAGATTTCTTAGTGGAGACTGGACTGGATAAGCGCCTGTGATAGACAGCCAGGGGTCGACACGTATGAAATTATGTGTTAGTGCATATACTGACAGTACAAAATAAAAGTGTGCGTGTGAACATTTTATGACAATGTGAACTGCTGCAAGCAAACTGTGCACTGGCATGATATTTCAAGTGGCTTCATTGTGCTATTATGTTTTTTTTTCTCGATTGTTCGTATTTGGGTACCGTTCGGTATTACTATTTCTTTTTTTTTTTTTTTGCCGCTGCAGAACTTATTGATATGCAGTAGCCAAGGCAATATGGACGTCGGCCTCTCCACAACAAAACAGTTAGAACAGAACAGAACAGCTTCATTTGGAATCTCCCGCATATTTCGGTTTTCTCGGATGCCATATCATCACTTGACTTGAAGCCTTGGTGGTCAAATTTAACCGTACTTCTCCCTTTACGACTTGCGTCGTAGTTAAATCATGGTGTTAAAATTATTAGTAAAAGTAAACGCGGCACCAGACGGTATCATCGACTATTTCTCATAGTATACGGCGCGGCAAACGCTCGCAGTAAGAACGCAGCCGCATGATGTTTACCTCAGTTGTGTGCCGTGACATCCGTTCTTCGACCCCGATGGAATCCCGGTGGCACTCTCCCATTCTCGAAGGGCACCGATCCTAGCCGCCTCAGTTCACGTAGTCGGATCCCCTCCGTCAACTGCCCCTGCGGGTGTGTTTCGAAGGCCGTTCTGGTGTAGGTCCCCCGCGTTTAGTTCCACCCCCTTACCCTTTCGCCTCCACCCCTTCTATCGGACCGTACGCTGCCGGACGAGAGCACTTAACAGGGTAATAAGTGTGCCCTTCGAAGCTCGCTTTCTCTCCCGCACCCTTTCCACGAACCCAGTTCCAGCGACAAGTCAGGGAGATGACCATAGAAGTAAGCCCGGATGCCGTGTACTCGCTTTATCAAGTGCTGCGACACTTTCATCTCTCGTTTATCTACCAATCAACCATTTTTTTTCTTGTTGTTTTGTTAGTCGTTGACTGAAGCTCCTATCTTCACTAGCATGTTCATATCTTCGGGAGATCTGAGTGGCGTTTGCTTGCCGACTGCTCTCTCCCTCACCACGGCGCCGTTTGTGAGTCACTTCGATGCGAAAGGTGAAGGAACACTTGCACAGTTTCCTGCTGTAGCGGGAAGGTTTTCTGAATAATCGGTTCTCTCTGGGGCGGGCTGAGAGAACTTCTGCTTACTTCTAAA